CGCCCCCAACATGCTAGGCTACAGGGCAGTGCGACCCACCCCAGCTCCGACCATGGTTGTCCTAGCAGCAACCCCCAGTTAGCCACTGGATTGCCTTCCACCCTCGACAAATCCCCTATCAATCAGGCCTCACGCCCCTGCCTAAACAGGTTACAGGGGGAAGACCCCAGCAGCGGTCAGCRTCGGTCTGGCATCTGCTAACCCAGACCAGTAGTAAACATCACAGCTTCGTCTTGACTTCGAAAGAGCCTCTACCGCCACTGAAAACCTGGATCCGGTCTCTGCAGAAGCTCCATGGTATCCATGATTACTGATGATTGCTGATGATTGCGGATGATTGCTGATGATTGCTGATGATTTAACACTGGGGGATGCTAGAGAACATGCTATGAAATCGATGAACCTCATCTAGCCTCACATCAACTAAACATCCCCATTCCAAGTAACACCATAGGCCAAACGGRAACCAACAGTAGCTGTCCTGTTCTCACTACGGGGCCTATGCGCRGTCTCACGCCCCCAACATACTAGGCGACGAGGCGGCGCTACCCACCCCASCTCCAACCSTCGTTGTCCTGACAGCCACCCCTRGTTAGCCACTCGATTGTGTCTTCCACCCTCKACAAATCCCCAGATCTCTCTACCAGGCMTCAAGCACCTGCAAAAACAGGTTACAGGGCTACAGCCCAGCACCGGCCATCGCCCAACCAAGAACACTAAACATCACAGCTTCTTATGGCATCAGATAAGCTTAAACATCACAGCAGCTTCGTATGGCATCAGATAAGCTTAAACATCACAGCAGCTTCGTATGGCATCAGATAAGCTTATACAATACCGCGACTGGAATCCTGGATCCAGTTTCTGTACAAGGTCACAGAATGCTGATGATGATTGTCAGTGCCTTTGGAATTTATCTCTTGGAAAAGTCTACAGTCTTACCCCGAATACAACGCACGGTCATTATAGCCGTATTTGAGGCATCTTTCAGTCTAGATACAGCTATAATGATYCGGGGGAAGACTGTAGTTGAGAAAAGTAAAGMAATCCATATACTTTAGGGAAYGTATCTGGCATTTATTAGGAAATTGGTAGGTAGTTGATTAGGGAATATATTAAGATTTGCAGTTATTTATGGAATGTGATTAGAATGAAAGAATATAGATTTTCGGATTTAAGATGATGGGGAATTCTGAGATTACTAGATTAGGGAATAAAAATGATACATCAGGATTATTATTATAATCACTGAAATATAAGAC